AAGAACCCCCCGTTGGGTTCTCACCATGCCAGGACGATTCTAAACAACAACAACAACAAAGAAAAAAAAACCCTCTTCTCCTCTTCCTCTTCCCCTCGATGGAGTCAGCCGACTTCTATGAGACGGAGCCACGGCCCCCCATGAGCAGCCATCTCCAGAGCCCCCCGCACGCGCCCAGCAGCAGCAGCAGCAGCAGCCACAGCAGCGCCGCCTTCGGTTTTCCACGGGGTTCGGGATCTGCACAGCCCCCGATCTTACCTGCGGCTCCGGAACCTCTGGGTGGCATCTGCGAGCACGAGACGTCCATCGACATCAGCGCCTACATCGACCCGGCCGCCTTCAACGACGAGTTCCTGGCCGACCTCTTCCAGCACAATCGGCAGCAAGAGAAAGCCAAGGCGGCGGCGGCGGCGGCGGCGGCGGCGGTGGCGGCGGCGGCGGGGACCCCGACGGGGATCGGAGGAAGCGGTGACTTTGATTACCCCGGAACCCCCTTAGGTCCCGGAGGTGCCATCATGTCCGGGGGGGCGCACGGTCCCCCGCCTCCCGGCTATGGTTGTTCGGCAGCTGGTTACCTGGACGGTAGGTTGGAACCGCTGTATGAGCGCGTCGGGGCTCCGGCGTTGCGGCCGTTGGTGATCAAGCAGGAACCCCGGGAGGAAGATGAAGCCAAGCAATTGGCCTTAGCCGGGCTCTTTCCATACCAGCCGCCGCCGCCGCCGCCGCCGCCGCACCCGCACGCCTCTCCCGCGCACCTGGCCCCGCCGCACCTGCAATTCCAGATCGCGCATTGCGGCCAGACCACCATGCACCTGCAACCCGGGCACCCCACGCCGCCGCCCACCCCGGTGCCCAGCCCGCACCCCGCACCCGCACTTGGAGCAGCCGCTTTGCCAGGCCCTGGTGGTACGCTTAAAAATCTAGCCACCGGGCACCCCGATCTCCGTGCGCCCGGTGGTGGTGGTGGTGGTGGTGGTCATGGTGGAGTAGGCAAGGCCAAGAAGTCGGTGGACAAGAATAGCAACGAGTACCGCGTGCGGCGAGAACGCAATAACATCGCGGTGCGTAAAAGCCGAGACAAGGCGAAGCAGCGCAACGTGGAGACTCAGCAGAAAGTGTTGGAGTTGACCAGTGACAATGATCGCCTGCGCAAGCGGGTGGAACAGCTCAGCCGCGAACTGGACACGTTGCGGGGTATCTTCCGGCAGCTGCCGGAGAGTTCTTTGGTCAAGGCCATGGGCAACTGTGCGTGAAGGCGGCCCCCACCCCCACCTCGGTGCGTGCCTGTCTGCGCGCGCGTGTGCGCGCGCGCGGGACTGCAGGGGAGGGGGCGAGGGTGTGGGGGGAACCCATCCTGGACCGGCTCCTGGAGAGGGATTATTTTGGGGGGGTGTGAGGGGGAGAAAGGGGAAGGGGAGGGATGGCGTTGTGTGATCTACCAGATCTCCAAGCTGGATCCTCCTCCCAGGATTAGAAGATTCCAGTGTCACCTGAAAAGCCTGGTGGGTTTGAGTGGGTCCCCTTTTCTCTTCCTCTGAGCCGGATTTGGTGCAGTCTAAGATAAAAGGGAGTCAGGCAATGTTTTGGGGGGGTTCTGTTTTGTTTTTCTCTCTCTCTCCAAGATGAAGGGGAGAGAGGGACTTCTCTGTGGGAAAGAGGCTGGCCTGGAAGTCCAACAACTCTAGTATTAAGAAATAACCTCGTGCCTTGGAAATACAAAGCTCCAATTCCTACGGAATAGGGAGGGAGCAATGCTGTGCCTTCCACATTTTATTTACAGTGGGGAGGGGCTCCTGCTTTCCTCTGAGGCTGCTATAGACCCCCCATGAAAGAAGAAGGGGTGCAGGCCCATGGCCAGGAGGAAGATTCAGGAAACTGAAACCCTTTCAGCCATGCCCCCCCCACACACACACCTCCTTCCCCCAGCAGCTCCTCTAGGTCTGTCCTTAGAGGGCAGAGGAATTTAGGAAGTTGGGGTTCTGAACCTAAGCCTGTTACCCCAGTTCTACTTGGGTGCCTACTTCCTTGCCACTCTCCACCCCAGCCTATAACAGGCTGGAAGTTGCCAGGTGGCTGGTGAGAAGCACCCCCCCCCTACCCCCTACCCCATTCCCAGCCAGACCAGAAAGCTAGGTTGTGAGGTAGGCATTAGGCCATGAGGTCATGGTGGGTAGAGGCTGGGGGCCCTTTAGAAGTATGGTTTTGCTCAGGGGTAGGAGAGAAGGGACTGGAGGATCGATCATTGGTTTTTGTCTGTACTGTACGTCGCCAACATTGCCAAGATCATAAAGCACAGTGCTAGCTCACCCCCGAGGGATGGAGGGGGGGGACATTATAAGAAACTTTCCAAATATTTTTGCTTTATCAGCTGATATCAGCTTGTCTCCGGCCCCTTGTTGTACCCGCGGTGCCTTGTACGAAATGAAATGTGCACACCCATACGAAACCACCACCATTTTCTTTGGGGTTTGGTTTTGGTTTGGTTTTGCTCAGATACTTGCCAAAATGAGACTCTTGTTGTTGTTGTTGTTATTGTTGTTGGGGGGGGTGGTGCCCTGGGGGAGTGTGGAAGGGGGAGGTAGATTCCGAGGCTCACTTTCCTTTTGGTTTGGGGATTGTTGTTGCTTTTTTTTCCCTCCCTGGGGGAACCAATGAGTTGAGGTGGGCTTGTGCCTTCTCTGATCATAACTGCGCAGGCTTCAGTTTCCTCCCGCTGGGCTTGTCCACAGGCCCATCCTCCACCCCCTCTATATTCCCCCCCACCCAGAGGCCTTGACACCCCCCCCCCTGTCTAGAAGGAAGGAAGGTGAGCAGCAGCCTCTAACCAGCACTTATGGCATAATAGAGGATTGCTTGGTTCTTTTCTTGGGGGGGAGGGGACGGGGCGGGAAGAACAATTTCATGCTAGATGTTTTATGTATTATATCTATAATATAAACTTACCAAAGTCCATGGTGGTGTCTTTTTAAAACCAGAAAGAATCTGTTTTTGAAAGTTTGCTGTTGTGTGGGTTAGGTGACACGTGTAAAGAATCACAGGATTTTATTATTATTATTTTTTAATGGCGGAGATCTTTATGAATTAGCATCTCTAGACAGCCTCTCTTTTTTTACTTTTGCCTTTAGAGGGTGATTTTGTTCCCCTACACACACCTTACATCCAAGACAACACACAGAGCACATCCAGACTCTGAAGAAAGAGTCCTAGGATGGGGGTTGGGAGAGGGTCATGGGACTGAGGTCTTACTATCAACTCTCTCTGTTCTGGCAGAAGAGGGACCCAGAGAAAGCCATCTTGTCACCCAGTGGCTTCCAAATTCAAGGAGACTTTCTAGCTTCAGAGTAGATAGCCTGGTTCATATCTGTGTTTGTCCCCCACCTTTCAGCTGGGCCCTGGGTCCTGGACAGGCAGGAAGAGACCAGGCTAGCAGTGTGTACCTCTCTCTCTCTCTCTCTCCCTTTTCTCTGGTCCTCAAGGCTGCACACAAACCCTTAGCAATGCCCAAAACAAGCTGTACTCCCTCCTCTACCCATCCCTCCATGTCTGCTGGCCCCAAACCACCCAAGAAAGGGTCCACAGCAGGCCTACGCAGGCAATTTAGCCCTTCTCCTCACATCAGCAGGAGAGATTGAATCCTAACACCATCTTCCCGCTGTGCCCATCCGATGACCCCATACTGTGACAAACCCTCCACTCCATCCTAGCCAAGCAAGGGATGGGAGACCTCACCTCTGTCCTGGCTCTGATGCATGCAGATTTTTTTCACCTTCACAGAGAAAGAAAGTGAACCCTTTTTCACCTCTTGACAATCTTTTCAATTCGGAAACTTCCACTTCACCTCCCTACCTGCGTGGTTAACTTATCCCTCTTTCCCCTTCCTTCTCTCCCCGCCCCCTACCCTCGCGCTCTGTGCGCTCTGTGCTGTGTCTTGCCGCCTCCTCACCCATGGCCGCCCTTGGCAAAGAAAAGGCCACAAGCCCAGTGAGGAGGCGGTGGCGTGCCCCGCCACCCTGGGAACCGAGGAGGCAGAGCCTCACCGCCTGCCCAGAGGCTGGGACAGGCCACGGCTTGCTAGGCCCCAAACAAACCCTTTCTAGGTTCAACGTGGATTCCAGTTTTTCTTGTTTGCAGGGACTGATCCTTATTTTCTGTCCCCCCACCCCACCCCATTGCCCCCAAAACATAAGAGATCTCAGGATAAGTGGAAGGGGGCGACCCTCTTGCTCTCTTCCACTGGGCCATCCCTGATTGGGGTGGGGTGTGGGGGTGGAAGGGGAGAGGCTTTCTCTATCAGTAGCTGTCAGCTCACAGAAAGGTACCCCTTCTGTATGCCCTGAGGGTGGTGTTGGGGACCAACAAGACAGATCTAATCGCATCCTGCCCCAGGAAGGGGATGGGAAGGGTGGGGCCTCTGCTGTGGTCCAAAGTAGCCTGTCACAGCTCAGCCCTTCAGTCTAAGTGGGATAAACCTACCTGTCTTCTGCATGGCTAACCAGAGGTACTCTAGGGAATGCCACCTCTGGATGCTGTCTGCTTCCTATAGTGCGCGCGCACACACACACACACACACA